TTCAGGTTGTTTTTCTTGAATTTCGATTGATTTATCTTCTTCGGGATAGTAGAAAGATTTGGGTTGTGCAGAAGAATCCTTACTAAATTCGTAAAATTTCTTTTCAGCGAACATAACATCTCTTCCACGGATAAATCTTTTTGATAATGGATCATAGAGTTTATAACCTTTGGTTCCAGCAGGATAACCAACAAAAATAACTCGTCGGCTCTTTTCAAATTTTCTACGATTCTCGGTTGGAATATGGAGAAATGCTAAGCAGCCAAATACTTTCAAGTGCGACACATTAGGCTTCTGATTAAAAAGGACTTCATAAGGCGTGATTCCTTTAAGTGAGCTATTGGGACTTCGGTTTCGAAGATAGGCGGCAGTGCTGACAGATTCAGCCCAAAATTCTCTTGGTAGACTTGCATGATGCATCATACACGTGGCAGATTCCACAAGTGTCCTATTCATCCTTTCTGAGACACCGTTTTGTGCAGGACTATAAGGAGCTGTCAACTGATGACTAATTCCTTTTTGTTTCAAATATGATTCGAATTCCTTTGAACAATATTCACCGCCATTGTCGGTAAGAAGCACTTTAACTGGTTTGCCAGTGAGGTTGGTGACATGATTAACGAACTCTTGGAATTTTTCTAAAACTTCACTTTTTCTCTTGATAAAATAGACGTACGTGTAACGAGAAAAGTCATCAATGAAAGTTACGAAATACCGTGAGTCACCAAATGAGTTAACCAATATTGGTCCACAGACATCACTATGTACCAATTCCATGAGATTAGTTGCACGCTTTCCACCTCCTTTAGGATATTCAGTTCTATGTTGCTTTCCCATAATGCAACTTTCACAAATTGAACGTTCCTTACTTTTGTCTTCATTACTTATTCCATAAACCATTTCCCTTTCATCAATTCTTTATATTGTCAATACCTAAATGACCATATCGATAATGCCATAGTTCAAGGATAGAATGTTTTTGTGAAATGTATACATGATGATCTTCTTCTTTTGTTTGTAGCAAATAAAGTTTACTTAGAAGATTTCCAACAGCTAGCAACTTCCCATTTCTAGCAATTTCACATCTCTTGCCTTTGAATTCCACTGTTGCACCTAATTTGATCATTGCTCGAACAGAGAGTAAGTTTTTATCAAGATCAGGTAGATATAGAACATCATGTAGAGCTATTGCTTGATTACGATTTCCAGATCACACACAATATGATAAGTACCTTGACCAAATGCCAATATTGACCGATTATCTCCTAGATGAACAATACTTGGTTTGTCAAATGCTATGTATTCTGTTAAGCGATCCTTCTCACTGGTCATGTGTTGTGTTGCTCCCGGGTCAATATCCATACTGATTTATTCAGCAGATCAGTAGCTACCAATGCTTTCATTAGTCAAAGCATCTTCTTTCTGTGCATACCAAGCTGAATTCTTTTCCTTTTGATGGAAGGTGTTCCCACCATTTTTCATATTCCGCTTTGACAATCACGGGCGAAGTGCCCAACTTCTTTGCAATTATGACATTTTCCACGAAATACCATACCATTTTTCTCATTATTGTTGCTTTTGCCTTTATATATTTCTCCTGTACTGTATATGCATTCTCTTTAGCTTTTTGTATTCACACCCTTTCAACATCGTTCAATAACATATTTTTCACCTTATCATATGATAGATTCTCATCACCCACTGCATCTAGTGCCGTAATCAGGGGTTTAAACTCTTCCGGCAAGCTGGCAAGCAATGTCATGGCCAGTTCCTTATCATCGATCGACACATTCATTTCTTTCAGTTGATCGTGCAAAGATTTTAACTGACTTACATGTTCCATCATATCATTACCTGGATGAAAACGATGCGAGTAGTATTGTTGTCTTGAGCCTACTTTTTGCATCAATGATTCACGAGCAAACTGCCTTTTCAGGGCATCCCAAGCTTCCTTGGCTGTGTTTGTATCTCTAACATGAATCTGGTATTCGGGTTCTATGGCTAAACATATATATGTCCAGGCTTTCTTCGCACTTGAAACGAATTTTCGTCGCACTTCTGCATCAGCATCTTTCCGTTGGAGTTTCAGCCGTTCCATCTGTATGCTCAAACAAATCATGACTCTCCAAATATAAGCACATGTTGAAGGACCAAGAGCGGTAATTCGACCCATTCAGTTTCGCGAATTTCAACGTGTTTACATCAGCCATGTTTAACACAAAAATTTCATTAAATATATTTCATACACATTCATTCGGTTTACCTAATCGTACTTAGGCGTTCTGGGCCCATAACCTGTTAAGAATATTTAGGTAAAGAATGAAAATATCCATTGATTGATTTGGATATATTTATTATAGTTAACAACAACAGCGTGTGCGCAAAAAAAGCAGTACGAACAGAACAGAATATATAATCATCACATGACATAGTTGATCATTATAGCATGACTTATATGAAGTTCTTCAACAGTTAGATAATCTTGTTGGAGCCTAACTCACTCATTAAATCGTGATATGTTAGATAAACTTGTCTGGCTTGAATACGTAAGCCTGCCTTTCCCAATATGTTATTAAAGCTTCAACAAAATATGTAAATTTTCCTCGTGGATGTACACATTACATATTTGCAGGACCACGCATTTCCATGTCATTATGTTTGCTATTTCTGGCTGAATTCCAACTTGTGTAAACACAATTAAGGATGCTATTTTCCGTTTTTGATTTCGATACTATTGTCGGAACAAGTGTTCAAAAAGGTACGTTGAAAAATTCAAAATGAAATGATTTAGCAATGCCTTCTTCAATATTTTGTTTGTGTAATAGCACAAACATACAATTAAAACTTTAATTAATTTCAAGTGCTGTAGCAAGTTGATAAAATAATTATGAATAGTCAACATGAAATCAAATTTTATAACAAGTTGTTATTGAACCACAATTAACACAAATATATAAATAGAGCTTTGCTTTTTTCTACACACACGCTTCAAAGCTGTACAAGTGAGACTTATCACAAGATGGCGAACTTTACTTATGCGATGATTGTAATAGCTTGTCTTTTTGCTATTATTCATGGGTAAGTTGTAATCTTTTTAAAACTAAAACGTGCGAGGTGTGAAACCTTTTGTATTTTTGACACGAGCATAATTTAATAGGACAGTGCTTTATAGCGAAAAGGTTGAAAGCTGCTAAAACAGTAGCAATGGGCAGTTTTAGTATTTTGCATTAAATATGCCATTATTAAATGTTTTTATGTTATAAAATATGTCCTCTATGGATCAAAAAAGATGAATTGAATTTCATGGTTGTTTTATTGTTCGTACTCTGCTTCTTCGTAGCTATAATTTTAAAAATTGTCTCCTGCTATGTCGTAGCAATCTCTGTAACTGCATGAGAGGACACTTATTCATATCGTGTTCTAAGATCATTTGAAATCATGTTTTACGGATTATAGTATGCTTATATGAATATGAGCTCCCAAACTTTTGTACTACGCCACTTTTGAAAGTTGAAATTTACAAAAAGGTTTATTTTCGTACTATTTTGAGTCTTTTAGAATTTTGAAATTATGATTGACAATTTCTTAATCACCATAAGCATTTTCCAAACCAATTCAAATAGAATTTTTTTATTAACCGGAATTTAAAAGGTGGAAGATTATGAATCGGCACAATTTCTAAGAATTTGACCTCTTTGTTACGTTACGTATTATTATTAGAAATTGTTTAAAAATATTGAAACTTCTGGCTGTGTTTAAAGATCACAAGAATATCATTCTGGATAATGGTCAGTAAGCAAGTGGCACAGTGTAATTAGTGTTATCGTCAGTGGCGGATTACTAATTACGGAGCATGCCGGCTAATACAAATTTGTTGAACTTTAAGTCAGATATGTACTCCTCCCACTAAGTTCAATCTCATGATGACATTTGCGTTCCTTACGCTCCTATAGCCCTTACCCTTTGTATTTCCCAGCCTGTCTTTGCAACTCATAGTATCAACAATAATGAATGAATTTAAATTTCAAAGTGGGAAAACGTAATACTTCATGATTTCTGAGCATCGTGAATTTCAACAGTAGATTGTACGGTTTTCAACAGCATAAATGGTCTAAATTAGGAGCATTTAACTCTAGTCCGGAATAGCAGAAGCTAAAAACTATTTATGTCTAGAAACTATGGACCTCTCAAATGCCCGGGCCTGTAAACTTCAGCCTACAAAGCCTACCCTTACGAAAATTATCAATAGGAATTCCTATTAAAACTTTCTTCAGGATCCTATTGGAAATTGGCCAATGAGCCTATAGGAACAACGTGTAGCATGCTGTAGGAACCTATAGGAATTCATATAAGAATTCTTACAAGAATTCCTATACGAATTCTTACAAAGGAATCCTATTGGAATTCCTACAAGCATTCCTATACAAATTCCTACAACAACTGCAATAAGACATCCCTCAAGAATTCCTATAAGAATTCGTACCAGATCTCCGGCGAAAATTCCCACAAAACTCTTAAAAGAATTTGTAAAGAGGCTAAGCTATTGCTTAAAGATTACAACAGAATCTAATCGGATTTTTTATAAAATCTCACGTGAATTGCTACATAATCTAATTGTCATGGGGAGTTCTTAAAACATACATAGGGAATTCTACATGATTTTAAATGACATAGTTTTGCCCCACAAGTTTCTATTAGACTCTCTAAAAGACTATAAATTCTTACAGGATCATAGGATTGACAAGTCATAAAAAAAAACAGACACATTACTGTAGATGCCCGTTAAATATAATACAGAAAACTCAAATAATTTAATAGAACTTAAAAATTTTAAAACTTGCATACGTTAATAAAATTGCAAAAAGTACCAACAATACAAATAACGTATATGTATGTATAACTAGAAAAAAACATGAAAATTAACTATTAAAAATAAAATTATAAAAAAGAATCAGTTATCTGGTACGTTGTCACTTATTTTGAATTTTTTTACATCTTTCGCTGTTGTTTAGCTTTGCCTTTATGAATCCTTTCACCATTTTTTTGTCAGGTAATCGAAATTTTTTTACAACCACATCTAAAATAGACAGAAATCTGCTTTAAAAAATTAGAAATCATAGAGTATACCAGGTGGAATGTCAAATGAAAATTATAGCTACTGAGCGGGACCGTATAACACTGTTTTGAGCGCTCATGTGGTAGCTACTTGGTACCTGGGGATTTCTAAATGTAGTAACTACTTTAGTGACCTTTATTGAACTGTCAGCTCTGTAAGCAGACGCGTTCATCTTTCCGCCCCAAACTAAGTTTTTGTTGTTTTGAAACTGTCGGGTGATATCATGTACATAGTCTCTAGTTTTTTGACTACACTATAAAACAATTTAAAGTTTCATATAGTTTTTATTGGTTTTTTGGTATATGTCTTGAAACATGCTGCAATTCATCTCAAATTTACTTGTAACTACATCAAATATTCTATTAAATGTTGTAGTTTTCTAAAGGACCTATATTAATTTCCAATTTGCATAAAGCCATCCCACAAAAAATCCTCAAGGCTGATCGTATTAACAAACTGTATTATACATTTTAAAAAAACAGAATAATGGTTAAAAGCGTTACTTACAAAACAGTGCAGCAACTTTTGAAGCATCTAATGAAGGCTTTGGTGTTTTATCTTTGTGAGAATTGGACGTTTTTCCTGTTAGGGAGTGTGTTGCTAACACATCTCTGGACCACATCATGTCCATTAACGCATACGTGTAGTTCTTTGGATTTCCTTGTAAAGTCAAAAAATCCCTCTGCGAAGGAAAAATCTCAATACCAGGAGCCAGTGCTACCTAATAAAAAATTTAGAAGGCTTAAATTTCAAATGCATAGTGTTGAAAAAAGTTATATTACCCTTCAATTACGATTGCCATAAAGTGTTTTACTAAAACACGAAACAATTGACACTCCGTATAAAGTAAAGAATATTTATTCTAAACGTTTTGACAAGTGTTACATGTTACAAGGTATCATCATCAGTAGAAAATGCGGACATTTCGAAGATTACAAATTTAAAAAAATTAAATAGAAATGAATAACCTTTGGAATAAATATTGATTATTTTATAAGGAGTGTCATTTCTTTTTCCATTTAAATTTAATGCTTTTACCATTTGCTATAGCTATGATTTTTTCTTCACATGCACGAGTTACGTTTTAAGTTCCGAAAAAAAGAGAAAATTTAGCAAGAACAAGATAATGTCTACAACGTACTACGAGTCTATAATTCATCAGTTTTCAACATGATAACATGGTTTCCTGAAACGTATCAGGTCGAATTTTAAGCTGCAATGCCGCTAGCAAAAAGAAATTGAAAGACAGCAACCAAGTTGCTCGCCTAGTTGGCTTCTCCACCTGTTGATCCAAAATAAATTTGTGAGATCCAGTTGAAGTTAAGAAGCATCTTCTGGATTGTTTTGGAATGCCTATCTTAAACAAAAGGCACTTTAATTGTGCTGTTAGTTGGCGTCTCTGACTACGCAGAAAAATACCGATATGTTGAGTGCTATACCGGTGTAGCTACCAAAAAAACTGAACAGTTAGGAAATTGTCGCTTAAGTAATCATATCCGCAAGATCAAAAAAGCTTTGGTAACACAATTTTTATTCTAAAAAGTCTGTTATTTACCAAAACTTTACCTTCAGATATAAAGTCTTATTTACTATTTTAACCAAGTGCTTTTGCCAATTTTTCACACTTACAACTTTAGCAGCGTTTTCATAACTGTTCCGTTTCTTTATACACCCTGTAGCTATATTCATATTCTTAAATTTCCAATATTGCATATAATGATATTTGCTTGACATTATATATATATATATACACCTTTTTTTACGGAGCTGTGCTGAGGCATTGCGCATATAGACGAGTTTTATTTTAACTAAGAAGGGAACTATTCTTCCATCTCTTCCACTCCGTTGCCAGCATTATCATTTTCCTCAATCGTAGGTGCATCGCAAGAGCTTTTACGGCATAAAGGGGACAGGTGTTTTGGTAAATCAGTGTTCACAGGTGGCGAGACTGAATGAGTACTGCTTGACTGGAGTTCATTAATTATAGTTTCCAGGCTTTTGACAATAATGGGTAATTCTGAAAATGAAAGAACTTACATTTCAATTGTTGAAAACATTGCTATTTCTTGTCACTATTCCAACATTTACCTTTCACAGAATTCATCAACGCAGCTAAATTTATCGTCTGTATCTTTAAGTTTCTACATTCTTCGGAAAGTTCTTTTAAACGATTTTCGTTTTTTTTAGCTGTAAAAAGGATGTATGTCCTGTAAACAAAGAATAGTAGAAACAATAATTTAGGGCATTTATAATGACAATACCCTTTTACCAGGCAAATCTCGAATACGTTAAATAAGAAAGCAAAACTTACTCTATCTGGGCAACGTCAACTGCTAAGAACTGCAAAAAGTTTGTATACTTAAAGAACGATTCTCGTTTAAGTTGTCTTCTTCATTTTGCACTGTTTCAAACTTTTAAAAAATCAGTAAAACATTTGTATTAATCATAATGCTTAAGATTCCCGAGAAGATTGTCCTGCGCTGTGAAACTAGTAGCGACAACATATACTTTTGTTTAACTTATTTTATTTCAATGTTTAAATATATATTCTCACTCAGCGTATAAATTTATCCAAAAAAGTGCATTACGAGTACTCATACAATGCTCGCCTAACTAAAATAACATATTTGAACATGAGAAGAACGCACATTAGCTGTAATTAATTGACAAAAGCTTATGAAACACGAAAATATTTCAAAACTCATTACTTCTAACTATCGTTGGCTGTAAATAGACGTAAGAATCACATCCAAAAATGGCCATCCTCCATTATCGAGAAAGTACTTAATGGATAAAAAAAGGAAAAACAACTTTTTTGCCAGCTGGCTTCTCGTCTGTGATTGGTTGATTTGATTGAACACATTGTTAATTGATCTTTTTGGAGTCGCGCGCTTTTTAACTCAAGGTTAAATGTCTTAACTCAGAGTTAGTTATACCAGTGCTTGAACTCTACTTTAAAAAAAAAATTTTAACACAGGATTAGCTAACAATATGTTAACAAATCAAACCTTAGTTAGTTTTTAACATTAAACTATGTCCCTTTAAAAAACAACCCGTCAATGATCTTTTACTCCTCGGGCAAATTAATACTAATGAAGCATCAAGTAATTAATACAATATGAATACCTCTGTTTGTTTATATTTTTCTTTAACCATGGAATTTAAGGAGTTTTTCTTTGAACTATCTTTCTGGATTTTTCTTTTCTTTGAAGGAGGCTAAATAAAAACAATCATATAGACAGTAACGCCTTTTTAGTACAATATTTAGCAGTTTCTACAAAAGCTGGAATCCAAAAGTGATACCAAAAAGATTGTAATCTCCAATCACGATAAAAAGCATACTTTTTTACTTATATGTGAACCAAACTGGACTTCATAATCCTCCTTATGGGAGTCGGAATAGTAATTATAATTCTTTTGTGAGATTCTTTGACCTTTTCCTCTTTTAGGAGTTGAAGTTTTTCCACTTTTCAGATACATGTCTAAGCATGAATCCATGGAGTCAAAGTCATCTAATAATAAAATGTAGAATACTTTTATAGTTTTACGATTTTATAGTTTTTATAATCCGAAACTTGTAGAGAAAGTATAGATACTCATTCTCATGACAAAAAATGGTATATATCCAGCAATGCTTTTTTGAAAAAGTAAGTGTCCGCCATATTGTCACTTTCATTTTTTATAAATTTAGTTTATACAGAAACGATTATTCGAAATATTTATACGTTTTAAATTTATATTTTTGCAGTGGCATTTCAAAAATCAAAATCAAACGCCAACCTCCAAATTTTAAAATTCGTGCTGGATATCTTTCGCTTTCCGTTTTGATTGTATCTACATCAATTTTTTTCGCATTTTTCGTTTCGCTGCATTGAAGTCTATGGGCCACTTGACAATTATTTCGTGGGTAAAGAGCCAGGATTCGTTGTCAAATGTTGTAGAATTTCCATCTTGTATCCATGATGTTTGGCCAATATCAAAAGTATTGTCTCCAAAATCGAAAATTGCAAACTTCATTCTTAACTTTCACACTTGGTCACCTTTTCACAAAAGCGAGCTGCAAAACGCTGACAACAACTTGAACTTGATTACTTGAGTGGCAAGGAAAATAGCTTTGTCACCTTGGTGATGTGAGATCAGCATTGATGTTACTGTGGTAATGGCGGTAAGTATCAATTGTAGTAATTTCACCGCTGACTTGAACAAACGCTTGCTGCTTTCGTCGTGAGCAGTTTGTTATGAATATTCTTCAAAATTTGTCAAAATTTAGCGTTTTGATAAAACTTGTATTCGCGGTTTTGTAATTTAAGCTTTTCTTATGCGCTCAAGAGCGCAATACAAACGATATGCAGTTGATTCCACTGTTGATCTTCCAAGAAGAACAAAATATAGACGACGAAAGCAGTTGCGTGCTACGATGGAGATAGATCAAGCAACTTCATCTGATATGGTATGGAAAATTTCATTTAGATATTGAATTTCATTTAAATTCTCTTTCATTTAGATATCCCCCTGCGTCTGGATCATCACGTTGCCGTCGTGAAGGGGCTTAAGTACTTCACTGAAGGAAAACTAAGAATGATCCAAACCCGGTCTCCGAACTTCGATGTCGAACTCCAAGAACCACACCTCCAAACTCATGAATAGTCCAAATACAGAAAACCATACTGGCTCGGACGTCGCCCAGGATAAAAAGGTCCGCTCATTGAGCCAAGCTGGCTCCCATCTCAACATTGGCCCAACAGTGAACTTACTGTCTTTAAATGTCGAAGGATTGTCTATGGCCAAATGTGAATACTTATCAAAACTTCTTCATGATAACAAAGTTGATATTCTCTTTCTACAAGAGACCCATGTTGTAAAGAATAGTCCATCATCGAGATACACCATCACAAATTACTCGCTTGTTGACGCCATCTTCCATGAAAAATATGGCACAATGGTTTTTTAAAAACATCCCCAATTAACCTTAGTGATACAATCTACTCTAACTGAAAATAATGTCCATCGTACAATTGTCCACTATGGCGGAACTACTCTAATTAACATCTATAAACCACCGAATGAGAACTGGCCATCACCACCTCTACCACACATCAGTCACCCTACAGTTATCACAGGTGATTTCAACAGTCATCATTCAGACTGGGGTTACAGAACGAACAATACAGCTGGTGAAGACATCAGCACATGGACATCACAAAATAATATGCATCTATTGTTTGATCCGCGAGAAAAGGGCACTTTCTTCTCTGCAAGATGGCAAAGAGAATACTCTACTGACCTAACATTCGTATCCAAGGATAACAATGACATACCACTCTATTCCTCTCGTCAAGTCCTCGGTTCATTCCCCAAAAGCCAACACAGACCTTTTCTTATCACAATAGGTCTAAATATTCCCATCACACCATCTCTCCCTAAACCTAGATGGAATTTCCAAAAAGCAAATTGGAGTGATTTCACTAAGTCCATAGAGAGAACATGCCCAAGAATACAACCCGTATAGGAAAACATCCCCCGCTTCACCAAACTCATTCTACGTAGTGCCAGAAAATTTATTCCAAGAGGCCAGTGATCTACTTACATC